CTCTGTGGCGATCTTCCCCAACAACGACTTGGGCGCGCATTACGACCAGATTAATGTTGTGTGTGGGAGTGAAACAGTGTGTGTGTGTGTGTGTGTGTGTGTGTGAAACATTTTATACATCCAACATCCAAAAACAAAACAATAAAAAAACTTCTTTTTTTTTCAACATTTCGCAAATGACTGCAAGAAAGAATAACAAGGACACATTTCTGTTAAATTTTGGAGTGCTGTACTTAAGATGTTTGGGATGGTAGGAGCGCAGTCCGTGCGTAACGGAACACAGATGCACCTGCTCTCTGTCACTTAAAGCCCACTTTCCGGTCTAGTGTGAAGAGGTTAATGAATCATGCTTTCTGATTTGTTTCCCCCCGCAGATGGCTTGATGGGCGCAGACATGAGTGCAGAAAAACGCTCCTTGGACCTCTCTTCATATTCCAGCAGCTTCTCGCAGCCTGCAGCCCATCGCAACCAGACCTTCACCTACATGGGGAAGTTCTCCATCGACTCTCAATATCCAGGTAACTGGAACCCCGAGGGAGTGATCAACATCGTCTCGGGGATCTTCAACGTGGCCCAGCCACCTCCTCCTCCTCCTCCTCCCTGCTCTTCAGCGTCCTCCTCCCCGGCTTCTTCAGGATCTCCCAATCACTTCTCCAGTGGTAATTTGAGTTGCACCATGGCGGCTCAGAGCCAGGCAGAGCTAGAGCACCACCACCACTTGTACTCACCCCCGCCTCCTTACTCCACCTCCGGCTGTGGGGAGGTATACCAGGACCCCTCTGCATTTTTGTCCACCTCTACCTGCCCCATCGCCTCTTACCCTCCACCCTCCTACTCGTCACCCAAGCAGCCCGGAAGCTCAGACGCACCAGGGCTTTTCCCCATCATCCCCGACTATTCGGGCTTCTTCCAGCCGACTTGCCAGCGGGACATGCACACGGCAGGCATCCAGGATCGGAAACCGTTTGGCTCTTGTCCTCTTGATACCTTCCGTGTCCCTCCACCTCTGACCCCCCTGAACACTATCAGGAACTTTACTCTGGGGGCTCCGGGTAGTGGTGCCTCCGAGGGAGGGGCGCCGCGGCTCCCCTCTGCGTACAGCCCACAGAATCTGCCCCTGCGGCCAATCCTGCGACCCAGAAAGTACCCGAACAGACCCAGCAAGACACCAATCCATGAGCGGCCGTACCCCTGTCCAGCGGAGGGCTGCGACCGGCGTTTCTCGCGATCGGATGAACTGACCAGACACATCCGCATCCACACTGGACACAAGCCCTTCCAGTGTCGGATCTGCATGCGTAACTTCAGCCGCAGCGACCACCTCACCACTCACATCCGTACGCACACGGGAGAGAAGCCGTTCGCCTGCGACTTCTGCGGCCGCAAGTTTGCTCGGAGCGACGAGAGAAAGAGACATACAAAAATTCACCTGAGACAGAAAGAGAGGAAGTCCTCCACTGTCTCCTCTTCCTCCTCTTCCTCATCCAGCAGCTCCGGACTGGACCGGTTATCAGGCGGCATCAGCGCAGCCAACGGGATCTGTTCGTAGGTTTCCGTGGAAAGCTTTGCTGTCACCGAGGCAGTGTGAACTAAAACTAAACTAAGAAGAAAACCTAAAAAAGAAGGGTACGATCAGAACAGTTCTTCAGCTATTGTGAACTGAAGACCGCGGTCCAATCACCAGGATGGGAATAAACAAGAACTTTTGTGCAGTGGTGCGCAGATACGCACATTCTCCCATTCCTGCCGCAGAACTGAGTGAAAGACTGACACGAATGCACTTTGACTGCACAGTCTATTGAAAATACAAATAAAAAAGCCAATACAATTCATACAAAATTAATAGATCATTTGTAATGTGAAAGGGACTTTATGAAATAAAATCTAGCCAACACTTAACTAAGAGCCCAGCTTTTGTGCGCGAATGTGAAATAACTGCAATAACGTTTCCAAGAAATTAAACAATTTTAAGTTATTAAATTGACAATGAATTCATCTTAACATGTTTGTGGAACTCTTAATTTTCCCTTTAGTGCCTTGCTGTGTGTCTTTTTGTACACATACTGATTCAAGGACGCTTCTATCGCAATGTATATTTGTCCTTTCATATGTAAAGTTGGAAGACATTCTATTTTTGTACGCATTTTGTCTCGTGTAACTCCATTTGTTCAGCAGTTGTGGTTAATGTTTAAACCATGTTGGAGTGTAAATGTTTGACTCATAGCGACTTGACCATTTTGATTTGATTTTTTGTTGTTGTCGCTGTTGTTGTTGTGATGTGTGTTTTGAGACTTATTAAATGGATCAGAATGATAAACACAGCCGGTAGAGTCCGATTGGTTCATTGCTCTAATCTGCAGCACCTGAAAGCTGCTTTTATGAGACCTACCGGGTCACTGCGCTGAAAGTAGTGAACGGTATACTTTTTATTTGCATTCTAAAAAGATCTGTTGACGCTGGAAATTTTAACGGGTAAATCCCACGTTGCGTCACCAATGGCATCTCTGACTCAGACTTTTGCCCACTCAGTTTTTATTTAGGTGTCACATCAGGTTACAAACAGGCTATCATATGCAAATGATTTGTTTTACGCTCGCCGACAGCAGCAGAACAAGTCCGTGCTTTGACGCAGCGAAGGTGAAATAAAGCATTTGCGCAAACTTTAGAAGTTTAGACAAAACATGCGAAGCGCACAACATCTACATCTCACACCACTTTGATGCGGTTCGTTACTTTAAAAATGAACTAGATCTAAGAGGAAATCTATGTTTATGAGAGGCAACAACAAAGACGAACGATACTTCCACACAATTCATGAAATGAAATCATTTTACAAGTGCTGCAACAAAGACATTTAATCCTAAAGTCCACTCTCTGGGGTTATTTGTTAGTTGAATAGTTAAAGAACCATTTTTGGAATCACGGAGACTAATCGACTTCAGGTCTATTGATCAGTGTGGAATTCCTATTCACCAGCATTTCTAGAAAAAATAGTACTACTACTACTACTACTACTACTAATAATAATAATAATAATAATAATAATAATAGTAATAAAAAGCTTTGGTATATAAAGTAAATTGTGTTTAATTTGCTCCTTCAAACTGTTACTTTTACAAACTTTAATAAATATTTTTTAAATGGGTCTCCTATTTATCTTCAAATGTTTATTTTTCCGTGTGTGTGTGTGTTTTTTATTATTATTATCTGTTGTGAATCAGAAGCAAACGCCTCTCAGCAATGGGAAAACGGCGGTCACCTGTTTCCTTTCCATTTACCAAATGTCTGTATATGAATAAACACCCGGATGTGGTTCTTTTCACTTGTGGTGGAGCCGAATTATTTATGGCTGTTTTACTTGAGGCTTTTTAGTGTGTATTACACACCATAAACAGTATGTAGCGATGTAGAGTATTAAATGCGTCATTGACTGAAAACAAAGCAGAATTTTGGTCGTATTAAGGAAAAACTGCTGTTTGCTGTGCCTTTGAGAAGTAGTGAGAGAAAACACAATTTTATTCGGGTTTCTCGTTCCTCTCAGATGGCATATAGACTCGATTTCTCTCAAAGTAAAGGGATTTCCTTGGCAATAAAGAATCTTCTATTAATGAAAATATACGATTTCATGAAAACCGTGAAATTCTTCTAAAGAGTCATTTTAATGTTACACAAGTTCAGATATTGGTTAAAATTTTGCACTGTTTTCTCAAAACTACAATATTAAGACTATATTCACGAAATAATTTTGTGCACACTCCATAAAAATACTGTTTACTAAATGCAAATGTTTACAAAAATGCAACTATGTCCAACCCCTGCCTGACTGCCTTGAAAGTCCAGAAAAATGAGAAAAATATGAAGTAAAAGCAGACCGCAGCTGCACACCGTTCTGTGTAAAGCTGAACGTAAGTTAACCTGAGACTGGGTTGTCCAATTTGTCTTCTACGTTTTTCTTTCTTTGTTTTCAGTCTGAGACGATCGGCTGGCAAAAAGTGATTTCGATATTTCTTAGTGTTCTATATTTGTTTTACATTTTCTTTTTCTCTTTTTTGATAAATAGAGCGTAGTCAACAGGAATTGAGACGAAATAAAGAAATGACCTGTTTTTGAAAGTGTCTCTTGCACCAGAGTCCGTTCTGGCCACTTATCCTGATAAAACTGTGATGTTAAATTTGTTGCCATTACTGCTGCGCTCTTCGTTTTAATGACACATTTTACGCAGATAAATAAAGGATATAAAGTGACTTCACTAAAACCCGATTGCAGATTCTACTTTGGCAGTAAAGTTGTATGCGAGAAAGTGATACGGACAAACACTTTCTGGCATACAGACACACGCACAGCCTTGCAAACAGTATGCTTTAGCTGTCTGTCTGTAGGGGGCAGCGTCAAAAATATGTGGAACAACCGGTTTTCGGGCTGCTGTTTGTGCTATTCTTGGACCTTACTGCGTTTTTAATCGTTGGTGATTTTCATCCTTTTCTCTTTTGTGGTGAGCGTTTCTGTGCAAGCAGTCAACATTTAACTGTTGTTTATTTATCTGTTGCATGTCTGCATGCAAACACGTCTGCATGGGTTGCATACCCACATTCCTTTGCTGTATGTAGCCAAATACTTACATGAATGAAAGCTAACAGTACTGTGATTATTTTTGAGATTCACTCTTAGAGGACAAACCCAGAAACCTTGAGCTAAAAACCGAAGTCTGCAAAAGCTGAGAGCCAAAAGTAATATTTCAAGTCTTGATTTCTTCTACTTAGAAATGTAAGGAAAAGAATAATTATGGGTTTATTTATAGTAAATTCAGTTTGCTGTGTTATGATATAATGTTAGCCAACATGAAATGCAGATATGCTTCTACATGGGTCAGTTTAGTAGTGTGACCATTAGCTCACAGTGACTTTTACAAATTCGTTAGGATGGTTATGGTGGTTGCCTAATTGATATTAGTTCAGACAAAGGCCTATTTCTGTTAAAAGGGAGTTCTTGCTTCCTGCAATCACCAAGTGTTTGCTCACAGGTGATCAGCTGATCAGGCTCTCTCTATAATATTGTCCTATCTTCACTCTACAGTATAAAAAACATTAATCTGAACTGTTACTATATGAACAAAACTAAACTGCAGTGAAAGATGTTTGAACGTTCACGCCCACTCTAGCTTCATTACAACAGTTCAGTTCAATTTTTTTTAAATTTATATCATTATTTTATTTATAGTTCCAAATCACAACATCAGTCGCCTCAAGGCACTTTATATTTTAAGGTAAAGACCCTAATAATACAAAGAAAACCCCAACAAACAGACAACCGCCTGAACAAGCACTTGGTGAGAGTGGGAAGAAAAAACTTCCTTTTAACAGGAAAAAAACTCCAGCAGAACCAGGTTGAGGGAGGAGGCGGGGCCATCTCTTATGACTGATTGGGGGTGAGGGTAGGAAGGTGGGATAAAGACGCACTGCAGAAGAAATGATTAAATGCAGAGTGGTGGATAAACGCATATTAAATGAAAAAACTGAGTGAAGAAGAAACACTCAGGGCATCATGGGAGCAGTTTAGGTCTTTTGCACTGTAAATAAGGGAGGCGATCCATGTCACCTGATCCAGTCCTAACTATCAAAAAGGAAAGTTTTAACCCTAATCTTAAAAGTAGAGAGTGTGTCTGTCTGAAAGCTCGTTCCACCAAAGAGGGGCCTGGAAACTGAAGGCTCTGCCTCCCATACTTTTAACTACTGTAAGAACCCCAAGGAAACCAGCAGTCAGAGGGCAAAGTGCTCTATTGATAAGGTACTACAAGGCTTTTTGGATGGGATGGGGCCTGATTTTTCAAGGCCTTGTATGTGAGTTGGATGATTTTAAGTTGGATTTGGGATTGAATGAGTGAAGCCAACCTTTTTGATAAAGCACATAGTCGTGGCAGGATCAGGTGACTCTGAATGGTCCCTTAATTAAGCTGCAGTGGGTGGAGGCTGCTGGGAGCTCCCCATGATGCACTGGGTGTTTCTTCCTCACTGACCGTGTGATTACACATCATGAATTATTACTAATCTCTCCTCTACAGTGTGGTTTTTGTCTAGTCTTTCTCCCGTCACCAGGTCGCAGAGGATGGTTGCCTTTCCATGAGTTTGCCTTTACTGGCAGTTTCTTCTTTTTAAAAGTGGGAAGGAAGATTTTTGCTCAAAGGGAGCTGTTTGATTCGGGATTTTCTCAGATTGTCTCAGTCTTTCCATCTTGGTCAGTCGCTGTGAAAATCATCAACGCTGCCACCGTCTCCACACCATACATCATAGCAGGTCTCACTGCTATCTTGTAAATCTTCCCTTTCCTTTGTTACAAATTACCCCTGAAACTAATCTCCACCCACACCACCCTGTCTGCACTCTCCTCTTCAGCTCTCATGTTCACTGCCCATTGCTTTGGATGGTTGAGCCCAAGTATTTCAGCTCATCTTCACTATCTCTACTCCATGTCTGCTCACCTTTCCACCTCCTCTTTCTTGGCATGAGCTGCTGCCTACTGATCATTAGTCTGCTTCTTAATCTCGCATTTAAAAAAATCTGTCAATGTAACTTTTAACTGTGACCCTCTGCAGTCAACAATTGAGCAAACCACTGT